CTGAGCACTTGAACAGAGCTCCTTATACTACAATAAAACAAAACAAAACTCAGTGCCATCAAGTCGATTCCAACTCAGAGCAACCCCCATTGGGTTTCCAAAGTGGTAAATCCTTAAGGGAAAAGACTGCCTCATCTTTCTTCATTGGAGCAGCTGGTGGGTTTGAACCACTGATCTTTCGGTTAGCAGCCAAATGCCTTAACCACTATATCACCAGAGCTCCTTCTTTATGCTATAGAAGGAGAAAAGTACACATGAAGGCTCAGTGTGATATTTGATCTTTATATACCTTTTAGGCATCAATCCCCAGAGAAGTGCATTTTGGTGAAGATCTATGGGATCTTTTGAAATTAACTTGCATTGACAAGAGCACGCTGACTTTTGCTTTTGACTCGGGCCTTTTGTCTGGACTCATAACAGGTTAATTTCAGCTGCAGAGGCCTTAGAGTTCAAGTTTTTTTGCAAAAGAAATTAGTGGTTGCTTGAGGAAAGCTTTAAATGATCAAAGGTGCAATAATTGGGTCACGCTCCAAAGGAAGCCAAAAATTCAAGTAAAAGTTTGCTTAAACTTTTATAGGGTTGAATAAGCTGTCACCTATAATAATATCCAGAGATCATTTTCTCCTTCTAGAAATTTGGCTCTGATTAAGGAGACTCAAGTTATGATGTAGGAAGTCTTAAAGGAATGTCTAAGACTCTCTCCCCTCCCACTTCCTTAATATTAAAGTTATATTGTCCAAATAACAGTAGTATCAGATTTAATTCAGCAAGTATTTATGGAGGTCCTATTGTATACCAGCTATCATTCTAGGTGCTGGGCCAATATAGTTTTCTTTTCTTGTGGTAGTTGTTATTGTATAAAGTTGCCATGATTACTGACGTAGTAAAGAGTGAATTATTGCCTCTAGAAGAAATTCAGGGCTAGGCACCTGTGAGCCTCTGGTCACATTTTCTTCAACCAGTCAAGACATAACCTTGTTTTGTATCTGTTTCTTTTTAAACACTCCTTATTTAACATGTTGCCAATTCCTTACCACTGATCTCACAGTCAACAGCACTATAACTCATCCCTGAAGAAAGCCTGTCTGACACACCTATTTGTTCTATAAAGCTCATCATTCTTATGCTTAGAAACATTAGGCTGTGTTCAGTACTGCACTTGGGGGCCATTTTAAACAGTGAAATCACCAAAAAATAGGACAAAAATGTGAAAAACGTGGCACTAAATAGACCATGAAAAGAACACTTGTTCTTGTATGAGAAACAAGAAACCATAGCATTGCCTTGCTCAACCTCAGATGAGAACATGTGCATTGAGTAATGAACTTTTCACCACTCTCTACATGTCTGCAAATGACCAAGAAAGTGCTAGTATTGATTTGAGGTTACAAATAAATTTCAGTGAGGAGATGAATCTGCAAATAATGAAGACTGACTGTAACGGGTAATGGAATAAACTAGGGGCCAGCAAACTTTCTCTGTCAAGGCCAAGATAGTAAATACTTTTGGCTTTTCATGCCATATAGCTTCTGGCTCAACTACATAGCTGTGCTGTGGTAATACAGAAGCAACCACCCACGATATGTAAATGAATGGGCATGGCTGTGTTCCAATAAAACTTTATTTACAAAAACCAGCATGCGCTAGGTTTATCCTGTTGACTGTAGTTTGCTGATCCTTTTCCTCATGGAGCCTACATTCTGGAGTAGGGAGAGAGTCAAAAAAGAGCATAAATTGTATTTTAAAACAGAGTAACAGAATAGGCCTTACTGAGAAAGTAAGGTTTTGACAAAGACTTAAAGTTGGTGAGGGAGTTGTATTTGGGAGAACATTCTACAAAAAGGAACAAAACCATAGAAGCCCTGACACTGTAGGTCAGAGTAGCTGGGATAGAGCAAATGAGGTTGGAAATAGTAAGAGGAAAGGGACAGGGACACATCATGTAGGACCTTGTGCACTGAGTGACTCTAGCTCACTGAGTGAAAGGAAATACCACTGGAAGATTCTGAGTGGAAATGTGCTTTGATCTGATGTATTTAAAGGATCACTCTGTTAAACACAGATTTTAAGCAGCGAAGGTGAAAGCAGGGAGCCCAACTGGAGTATATTACAGTAATCCAGGTGAGAGGGGAGGGTGGCTTGGAGCAGGGTGGAAGGAGACTCTGGTAGTTAAGGCTGTGTGTCAACTTGGTTGGGCTGTGGTTATGAGTGGCTTGGCAGCTGGATGTGGTTATTCTCCATGATGAGACTGGATGTGGTAGAATCAGTGCCATGGTGGAATCGATGCCATAGTGGAATCGATGCCATAGTGGAATGTGCTATGAGCAGGTAATTAGTTGCCTTTGGGGTGTGGCGTGCTTTCAGTATATACAGAGCTTTGAGATAGCTCACTAGCTTTTTGGCACATCAGGATATTGGATTTGAACTAGTGACTTACTGCATTGCTTACCTACAATTTTCACTCTGTATCTTTTCCAATTTACCAAAGTGAGAACTCCGCAATGCTGAGGATTCCAAGTAGCTTCTATTCCAAAGACTGAATCTGATGTGACTCTAGGCCAGTTGCTTGATCCCATAGAGCGTTTCCCAGAGTGGGTTCCACATATCACAACAAACCAAAAACTAAACTCACTTGCTGTAGAGTTGATTCAATGCATAGTGACCCAACCTTCCCTGGGTTTCTGAGGCAGTATCTCTACAGAAGTAGATTGCCCCATCTTCCTTCTGAAGAGTGGCTGGTGGGTTTGAACTATCAGCCTTCTGGTTAGTTGTTGTTGTTGTTGTTGTTATGTGCCGTCAAGTCGGCCCCGACTCATAGCGACCCCTCCTTGGGTTTCCGAGGCAGTATCACTATGGAAGTAGGATTGCCCAACCTTCCTTCCGAGGAGTGGCTGGTGGGTAGTCAAATGCTTTAGATATTATGCCACCAGAGCTAGGGGATAGTACTTAGTGAGGAAGCAGATCTGTGGTTAAATGGCCCTGCACTATAGCTCCTCTGAGAGATTCAAAACACACATTAAGGTGATAAAACAGGTTCTGAACACTGGGGTAGAGATGCCTCCTTGAGACACTGTGACCCATTGCCAGTGAGAACCGATTATCGTTCTTGTACTAACAAGGTCAAATTGTATTGTTAAAGTGAATAAAGGATAAGAGCAAATAAAGGGTGGGTTCTGAGGCTGCATGTGGAGTAGACCTGGGGCCTGAGTGCAGAAGCTAGGCTTATTGGAATTACCTGGGTACCTACTATTTCATATTTTCAGTGAATGTACGAAAAACTATACATGCACATATTTATTGCCTCCAAAATCCAATGGGGGTCGCTATGAGTGAGAATCAACTTGACGGCAGTGTATTTGGTTTTCACGAAAATCTTTATGGTTATACTATAACGTATTTGACTGTTCCCCGTGTTTTCCTTGTGTATACACTTCTACAAGGGCAACTGTCAAACAAGACTCTTGGTGTGCATCTCTAATATCAGGATAAATGTAAGAAATAACAATTCTGAGTCAGTGTATTGACTGCTAACCAGAAGTCTGGAGGTTCAAACCCACCAGCCACGCCTCTGAAGGAAGATTGGGGAATCTACTTCCATAGAGATACCGCCTTGGAAATCCAAGGAGGGGTCGCTATGAATTGGAGTGGACTCGATGGCAGTGAGTTTGGTTTTTTTTAGGTCTGTAATTTTAAGGTTTTGCTACATATTGGTCAAATTGCTGCTACTGTTTTTGAAATTTATATTCCCAATAGAGGAATATTTACTGTTTATCTCATGGTATACCACCAGCACTTAATATTTTCTTAAAAAAATACACATTTCTAGTTTTTTTTTTTTTTCTGGGGTGGGGGCGCAGAGATTACTAATGAAGTGGGACTTTTTTTTTCATGTCTCTTGACCATCTCCTCCTTGTGCATGCATACTGCATGCAGTATTATGTCACACCTTTGGTTTTGAGGCTTTAGGATGTTGGCACCCCTCTTGGAACAAAACTTCTTGGATTTATTTTCATTTGCATACATATTACTGTTGATAAGAATGAAAGCTGCCTATCAATCACAGATGTTAAACAATTGGTTGTTTAATGACTCTGCAACTGCAGTTTCTACACTGGGTGTGGTGTATAGTGTGCACAATTAAGCCATTTCTTTGGCACACTCAAGTCACTTAGCAGGATGCTTTGATACTAGAATATCTTCTGTACTGCCAAAAGAAATATACTTGAACTTTTTTCTCTCTCCATGCCGCAGTTCTTGTCTAGCAGCCACTGGCAGAAGTTACCACTTCTTCAGCTAGCAAAGCTGCTTTCCAAAATCTTTTGGCAGAATCTCCTAGAGATTTGTTTTTCTGCTTCTTCCTAATTTAGAAACTGACTTCAAAGGGAAAAAAAAAAAAAAACTTGATAAAAATCGATGTAAGAAATTGACTGATTTAATTCTGCATTTCTTTCATTGAAAATTGGAGGGCTTTATATTTTACAACCCATAAAATAAAATTGGACAAGATAATTTTGGGGGACAAAAGTAAACAAAAATGTTGTATCCCCAAGATAAAATCGTTTTATTCCATTAAAGAAGCAACATGTGATACAAATTCAGGATTTTGTTAAAAACATTTGGAAACATTTAACAAAGCAAAATCATGACTTCTGTGATTATGTGAATATATGTGAAAAGTGTTAACTGTGACATTTAAATGGTTACATGCTTTTAATTAGTCTTTTCATAGTAAGCCACGGTGATGTCTATTCAAGGAACTGTAACCTGTGCCTACTGTGGAATTTGCAGTTGAATTAGAGCTTTGTTTCTTGCCTTTGGCAATTTTAAGGAAACAAATGGAAATGGTTTGAAGAACTTATAAAAATCTAGCACCTGCCAAAAGAAGAATTTAAAGGGTAAGGTGGTAATCTCTGGAAAGAAGCAAGTGATAAGAAAAGCACACGCTGTATTTATTTGTGATGGTGAGAGAAAAGGCCACAAGCCTTGTCCATGCCAACCTATTATTTGTTCTTGGCTGTCAGGGGTTTCCGGCTGATCTTTTTTGATTTGTCATTATTCTTCTTTGGTGGTTCTGGGTTTGCCTGCATGTGTCTTCCATAGAGGCTGAAAAGAGAGAGATGAGAAACCATGAACTACTCAATTTTATAATACAAGACAAGACAAGATAAGCTTGGAGAGCTTTAAACAATACATCACTCTCTATTCAATAAGCTTTTTTTTTAAAAAAAAAAAACCCAAAAGGGTTACTTCCCTGAGTCATATGCTGTGTTTAAGAATATAAATTTTTCTCTCTCACACACACATAGCATGCCGTGAAGTCCAATCTTGGACAAGGCTCTTGGAATTTCACACTTGCTGGAAGGGTTGTGAAAATAGCAAAGGAAGATGGCTCTCTGATTATGAGAACTGGTAATGGCCAGCCCAACAAACAGCCTTTAGAGCTGCAGTCTGTAAGTCGACCATGACAAAAATTGGGTTGAACTGCAGAAATAGAGTGTCCATTGAGTGAAAAGTGAGCATTATGCCTAGCCTGAAAGCCCAGGGGCTGGATAACGTGACAAAGAGCAATGGTGTCCAAGTCTGTTCACACATGATTGATGATGCTGGGATGGCTACAACACATCAATGCCACATTAATAAGTACTGCTGATTAAATGTTGACAAAGTACCCTACAATTACAGTGGATAGCATTCAGAGCAAAGCTGAGCTAGCTCCATGGCTGAGAGGATTTAACTGAACATCAGATAGTAATTAATTGATAATTTATGAGTAATTCTGATTAAACTAAATTAAAAGCCACCCTAAAGTTAAAGTAAATACAGCTCAACCCTAACTCCCCTCATGTCTTAATTGGTCTCCGAGAGAGCCGTGCAGGTGTCTCAGTATCTCTACAGCAAAAGCATTACCTGACTCTGCTTGTTGTGATTGCTTAGTACAAACAGAACAAATATTGACACACAGAGTAATTCCCCTATATCCCTTGCTGCTAATGTCCTTTTGGGGAATCAACACCTTGGTTGGCAGGCTGAAGGGAGGGTTTGGGTTGGATATGCTGTATTCTCTTCTCTAGAGACTTCCAAGAAACTCCTTAGAAGCTGTACTAGGAAGTAATGCCTGGCAATCTACTTCTGAAAACTAGCCAATGAGTCTTCTATATCACAATAGAAAACTGTCCAATATAGTAATGGAAGATGAGCCTGGGGAAGGTACAGCACAAGGCAACGTTTCATTCTGTTATAGGCAAAGGTCATCATGAGTGGAAGCCCACTTGCTGGCAACTAACAGCAAAAACAACGGTCTCAAGGAGTTTATAGTCTAGAGTAACAGCTGTCAGGGAGGAACTAAGTATCCCAGATAGAGTCATAGAGTCTGCAAGTGAGCTCTCAACTTCTTTGAAGACTTTGGATACTGTTAGGCATCTCTGAGCACCTCACAGAGTACAGGCCTCCCTTGCATCTCCACAGGGAACCTTCCTCCTAGGAAAACATACTTTTAAGACTTTGTGATCTGGGTGGAAGTTTATGGAGAAAATTTGTTTTCCATTCAATAGTGCACATGCGTTTTGTTTCATGACATTAATTGCAACCCCCTCACAATGTAACAGCTCTCAAAAATAGACCTTTAAACCTGCATATATTCTTCTATCCAAAAGGGGTCACAGACACCCCTTCTCCTCTAGTGTCTCTCCCAACACACCAATTAGGTAGAGGCTACCTTGAGCCTAAGGAGAGTCCTCTGTTACATTCCTTTCCTTAATCCACACATTCTGAAACACACTTATTTCTCTAATAGCCCCAGCCCTTCCCCCTCACCACAAAAACAAACATGTACAAGTTCTTACACATAATGTAAAACTAGGATTACAGAAATCTGTAGAGATACTACTCTATAGTTCATGCACATGGAAAAAAAAAATGAACCCCAGCAATGCTTGTATGTGCTAGGAAAGAGATGTAACATTTGGTAAAGACTTAGTTTGTTATGTACTAAATGAGGTGAAAACAAGATGATCAAGGAAGTCTTCACAGAAGAGGTGAGTGTTTATCTGGGCCCTCTTGAAGGTAGTAATCTGTGGAAGTCATTTCAGAAGGGTGTAAAAGCTTACAAGTGGCCATCTAGATGCAACAGTTGGTCTTTCCTCTACTGGACACTATCAGTCCAAGGGACTAGTGAACCTCAGCCTACATGACCATGAGACCAGTAGTAGTTGGTGCCCAGCTACCACTGTCAACACTTGCAAGGGGATCAGGGCAGGAGATCCTGGATAGAGTGGGAGAAAAATGTGGAACAAAAGTCAAAATCAGAAAAAAGACCAGACTTATGGTCTGACAGACTGTTGAAATCCCAGAAACTATGGCCCCAAGTCACCCTTTAGGCCTAGAACTGAATTCACTCCAGCCAAACAGTAGACAAGGTGAATATTTACACCAGATAGGTACACTCCTTAGATCAATCATGGGAGGTTAGAAGGGCAGTATTTGCACAGGAAAAGGTAACCATAGGGAGGAAGTGGGAAGAGAGGTGTTATATTACGGGGATTGCAGTCAATGTCAGGCAACAAAAGATGTATGGAGAAAATGCTTTGTCAACTTTTACCCAAATCACAATTTAAAAAAAAAAAAAAAAACTCAGCAGGGCTCCTCTCCTTTTTAGGAGACAACTGGAACATTTCAATTCTTATCTTTTTATGTCTAGACCCCACTCCTGGGTATCTGGACTTCCTGGGGCTACATAGCAAATCACTACAAAGGGTCAGATGGGAGACAGCAGCTCTGAACTTGATCTTTAAATCCTGCTTTTGCCACTTTCTAGCTGTTGACTTTGGGCAAATTATTAGCAACCCCACACTCCCCCACTGTGCTTTGTTGTCTTCATCTTTAGAATAAGGTTGGCAGGGTGCCTGGGGTGGTGAAATTACTCCAGCAGCAGGGTGAGCCTCTTGGAAGTATCCAAAAGTATCCAAAGATGCTTGTTGAGAAATTAGACTTGCATGGGCTTAGAGTGATTAAATGAAGATAACTGTAGGACTACCTTCTTCAGGGTTTGTTCCCTCTGAAAAATAACATCATACTGAGGAGGGCTGGTGGTGCAGTGGTTAAAGCATTTGGCTACTAACTGCAACGTTGGCAATACCAGCCATGCTGCAGTAGAAGGATGAGCTACTCTGCTTCCAAAAAGATTCACAGCCTTGGAAACCATGGGGGCGGGCAGTTCTACTCCAGCCTATAGGGTTTCAATGAATTGGAATTAACTCGAGAGCAGTGAGTTTATTTCCTATTATTAACACTCAATCTCCAAACATGTCTGTAAGAAAGGTTTTAATCCTCCATGAAGAAAGCATTGTCCCATTTCCTCAGTGAGTCAGTGGCAGTGCAGGGATGCTGCTGCTATCAGCTATGCAATCCTTTTCACTCCTCCAGCTGTGTGGGCAGGAGAGCATCAGCACAGTGCTACATGGCTATTCCCATTTGGAGACGTGACTGTAGCAAGGAGAAAACAAGCCTCACAGGGTTCGATGCCTGGATCCACCAGTTATTAGCCAAAGTGTGGTAACCTACTGCCATCAAGTTGATTCCGTCTGGTATAGATCTCTACAAGGTTCCCAAGACTCTACATCTTTATGGAAGCAGACTGCCTTATCTTCCTGTGGAGCAGTTGGTGGGTTTGAACTAATGACCTTCTGGTTAGCAGCCAAATACCTTACTCCTGCATCACTAGAGCTCCTTATGTGTGCAGACAGAATAATAATGGCCCCCAAAGATGTCTTAATCCTCTGAACCTGTGAATATGCTACCTTACATGGCAACAGGCACTTTGCAGACATGATTAAATTAGAGATCTTGACATGGGGAGACAATGTCGGTGGACCCAATGGTATCAAGGGTCTTTATAAGAATAAGAGAAGGCACGGGTGCCAAAGGGATTTGAAGATGCTACACTGCTAGATCTTAAGATGGAAGTGGGCAGCCTCTAGAAGCTAGAATGGTAAGGAAAACATTCTTTCCTAGACCTTCCAGAAGGAATGCAGTTCTGATGACACCCTGTTTTGGGGTTTCTGATGCCCAGAACTGTATGCTAAATTGGGCCACTAGGTTTGTGGTAATTTGCTACAGTAGCAGTTGTTGTTGTTATGTGCCGTCAAGTCAGCCCTGACTCATAGCGACCCCTCCTTGGGTTTCCGAGGCAGTATCACTACGGAAGTAGGATTGCCCAACCTTCCTTCTGAGGAGTGGCTGGTGGGTTTGAACCGCCAGCCTTCTGGTTAGCAGTCAAGTGCCTTAGGCACTATGCTACCAGAGCTCCCAGTAGGGAATGAAAACAGTAAGTGAACCTCTCTGGGCCTGACAGGTCAGCTTACCAGTGAGGATATGCTTAACTTCAGCAGAAAAAAAAAGTTTCTGGGGTAGCAGCTCACTGAAGGGAAGGAAAAGTTAAAAGAAAAATGGAGTGCTGTTTCTACAAGAAGCATGTTAGATTATTTTATAGCTTCAGTGATTATCTCTGATCCCCCCCAAGGCTCATGCCCCACAGCCTTCAGGAGGGATTTCTCTCAACCTGACTGCCCCAATTTCCTGTTCTCCTGACTTACACTTTTTCCCTTAGCGTATTGGTGAACATATTGTCTCTTGCTCAGCCTGTTCTTTTCCACCTCCTCCACCTGGGAAAATGTCAGGTATCGCTTGGAACAACTGTCACTTCCCAGACAGCACATCCCCTCTGTGCTGTGGCTCACATGTCACCCACCTGTCCACCGGGACAGGTGCCCTGATTCTTGGAGAATTGGCCTTACAACCTTTATTCCCACTTTAGGCTTGGCCATGAATAACTTCTGTAATCCTGGGAAAGTTACTAACCTGCCATACTGAGTTCCTTATCTGCAAAATGAGGGTGGAAATTTCCAGCTACCCTTCAGGGCTAGTAAGAAAATTTAATTAGATAGGTAAACTACCTTGTGTGTGCTGGCCCATAATAGGTGTGCCCAACAAGGTTGCTGCCTCCTTTAACTTCTCTCGAAGCTCTGTGGCTAGAACAGCTGAGCAGTTAGTCCCTTCTGCTGTCTACATGCTGCCACCACATACCATGAGCAGCCTGGAAAGTGGCT